TTCATATCAGTTATTGATGTCTTTTGTAACCATTGATTGAATTGAGCGACTTGATTGTTTAGAGATTTACGACTTTTTGCTAAAAGAGAAAAACGTAAGTACACTATTTGATCAAACAATTTTATGTTTGTGTAACTCACTTGAGAAGATAAAGATAAAATATTGTTTGCTCTCCATATCATTTTCAGATCTGTTCATAGCTGAAGTTTTACTTGGATGATATTCTTCAACAATAGCATGTGCATTGTTGCCTCCGATGCCAAATGAATTAATACCCATAGCTATGGAATCAGTAGCATTGCCAACAGGAAATGGTACGGAATGTTGGACAACATGAAGATTATATCGTTGTGCTTCAATATTTGGATTTAAGGATGTGAAGTGCATATTTGGTGGAATACTTCGATGATGCATACACATAGCAATCTTAATTAATCCAGCGATGCCAGCTGTTCCTTCTGTGTGTCCTAAATTACTTTTAATAGAACCAATTAATAATGGTGGATCAAAACAAGATCGATTGAAAAATTGACCCAAACAATTAGCTTCGATTGGATCACCTATGGGTGTACCAGTGCCATGTGCTTCAACATAAAAAATACGTCGAGGATCAAAGTCTGCTCGCTTGTAAATATCATTAAGTAAACGTGTCTGACCGGCAGCTGATGGAACAGCGATACTATTCTTATCTACACTTCCATCATGGTTACTAAGTACATCACGAAGAACACAATATATACGATCATTATCACGTTCAGCATCACTTAGTCGTTTCAATAGTAGAAGACCAAGCCCATCACCTTTCGCATAACCATTTGCATCGACGCTAAACGATCGACTTTGTCCATCAGGTGATACAGCACCCAGGATCGAACTCCATAAAAGACTCTCTGGTGAATAGACAGCATTCACTCCACCACATATAGCCATGTCTGCTTCTTTTGTACGAAGACTTTGCACAGCTAAATGTACAGCCTCCAGCGACGATGAACAGGCAACATCTAATGATACGTTAGGACCTTGTAAATTAAAATGATAGGATAATCGAGCAGCAGCATTGTAAAGCAAACTGTTGGGACCATGAAATCTCGATCGATGTTCAGGCGCCATGCGAAATGATGTAATAGCATGGTCTGTGGAAAATTGTCCAATATGTACGGATGTTTTTGAGCCATGCATTTTCTCCATACTGTAACCAGCATCGTCAAGTAAATGAACAAATTTGAGCATGAGTAGTCGATGACATGGATCAATACTACCTGCTTCGGCATCGGAGAGACCAAAGAAACTTGGTTCAAACATATCCCATTGATTATTCGATAGGAAATATCCTCGACGAATAAGTTTCTGGCGAAGTTGTCCATCATTATCCTTGTTCAGCATATGAGCACAATAAGACTCAAGATCGAGTCGATCACGTGGGACTGCACTACCCACATCTTGACTGTGCTTTAATGCATACCATAAATCACTGGCACAGTGAATATCACCTGCAAATTCGCATGCTATGCCTACAATGGCTATTGGTTCTAATAGATTATTGGAAGTTGACATTGAAATTTTTCAAATATTTATTGATGGGTCAATAAAAGAAAAAGAATGAGAAATCTAAAATACACAAATACTAAAGAAAATAAAATACGAAATCGATAGATAAATTAAATTAAAAAATAATATTCACTTAAACTGTTGTTAAAAGATTGAATCTAACATATAAATAAAAGTGTATACCTCGTTAAATTATTAGATGAGATTAATGTTTCTAAAAATCCCCGATTCGTCCTTTTCATAGTTCATAAATTGTCTTTCGATATTATGTGTATTTGAAGATGACATTTTAAAGAGCTCGAAACTCTGAACAATTTAAAAAATCATCATATTTTTAGGAAATTTCCTTTACGAAGGTACAGACGACACAGAACACGAAAAGAACGAATTAGTTGTTGATTATTTGATGACATCCTTTTTTTTCTGTTTTATAATACTTTACAGCTACATAAATAATTTTCACTGTCTAATTAAATACTTCCCTGATACTTGCAATTAAAGCAAACAAAAAATAAAAATAAATGATCTAATATCAGCACTAAAAATAATACAGCGGAAGAAAGGTGAAGCGGAACAACGACCATCCAGCTTCATCAAAAAAAAACATGATAAAACTATAGAGATGATGAAATGAACGATGATAAAATGAAAGAACTAAGACGATTAATATATGTGAGGAGAACAGAAGAAAAAAAAGATATATATATGAAAGAAGAGGATGACCTAAATCATCTTCTAACATCGATCTTTACGCAGTAAATACTTATTCAAAACTCAGTAATTCAATACTTTCTTCTTATCTGAATGAACGACGAAGAAAATTAAAAATCAGTACATTCAACTCACCAAACTGTAATCATGAATATGAGTGTTCTCACTGTCGTTCTAGTAACATAATGATATAAATAATGTGATCTCTTAAAAGACAATAAATTCTGTCGAAATGAAGGAGGTTCATGTGTATCTATATTGACCTTAGACATTACTATCGGTGGCTGTAAAATAAAATATTTTGTTATAATGGATATCAAACAGAACGCAAAAGAAAAATGAATGCATTGCTTATACAAAATAAAATATATCGATTTGTTTTCGTCTGTACAAAGAAGACACGTGTTTGCCTATATTCATACTACAAAAAAATTATCATTGACGATCACATATTGAATATTATGTTGTTATCACTATCGTTCATAGTAACACAAGGAGATAAATTATTTAATGTGTTAAAGTAAAATAAATATAAGAGTAATCGTTTGAAATGAAGGAAATACATACTTATTTGTATTCATATTAAACATAATTACCGACGATTGTAAGCCATTATATTTTGTTGTAATAGGTATGGAGAACAATGAAAAATAAAAATGAACGCATTACTCCTACCAAATATAATATATCCATTTTTTTTTCTTCTGTACGAAGGAGACACGTGTTTGCTTGTATTCATATTATAGAAAATTATCATTTTGAATAATGTTTAATATAGTAATCATTTAATGGAATATTAATAATTAAATTGTACATATGAATGAATTATTATTTCAAATAATATTTGTCGATATCCTAATATCGATTGAATATTAATTATTAAACTAATTCTTTGATTTTAATATGGACATTTTAAATCATAAGATAGGTTTCATCGTTAAATCGAGATAACTCAATTTGAAGATTTTCTTGAAATTAACCTATTTTTATTTAAGTAATCTGTTTGACCTATTGAAAAAACAAATAATTGTTTAAATGTATCATATATTGTGGTTGTAGATATAAATTTCACAATATTAATGTGTAATTGATCTAAAAATATTAATTCAGTTGAAAAAAATTAATTGTGAACATATCCTTTGAGAATCTGAAATTTCTAAAAACCATTTGTATTATTTCTCGAATATCTATTATATAATACTGGTGCATCAAAAGCACTAGGACAATCAACTTGATTATTATATAAATTAAAATATATATATATATGTTCATTACAAGAACAATTTAATATTAATAATGATTCATCATATCCAATTTCATCTTCACCATTGAAACAATTCCAAAAATAAACACAATGAGTATAAATATTATTACGTAGCCAATAATTACATTCACTTTCATCACTTTCAATGCGTACATCTATTATTATTGATAATAATTCATTAAATCCATTACAAATTGCGATGAAAATAAAATACGATGCATAGATAAGTAGTAGGATACTCATCAGATATTTTAGATAATTTCACATTAATTATTAGAAAGTTATTGTAAGATTTAAATGTATTATATATTAATTGTAAATATTCTCAATCAAATAAACGATTTTTATTTGAAGAAGAAATAAAAATATAGTACCGATAACATCATTTATTCTTAAATAATAATCATAATAAGAATAATCATAACAAATAAATGGATCTTGAAATTGTCCATTATTAAATAAAATAGGAGTAATTGCCATATAAAACATTGATGGACATTCATCTTCAATAATTGTAATACATTGATTCAAATAATTTTTTATGACGATGTATTGAACAAGAACTTATCAACGGTAATTCACGACATTAAACATCTTCAGTTAAAAAAATTGGTAGACATGTATTCCATTCAACATTGATTTCAAATTTAAATATAGTTTTGTCAAATTGATTATTTATATTTATTTGTGAACAATGTTCTTCACCAAATGGACCATCGAGACAGTCGAATTCGCCATTACAAACATCATTCCAATCTAAACAAGATGGGTATGGACCATGATTACATTTTATATAAATATAACATGTTAAATTAGTATTTATAAAGTTAGATTCAGTATAAACAAATAACGTACAAATTCTTAATATGATTGATGATAACCAACTAATTCATATTGACACATTCGATCCAATCTTAGTAATGTACAATTATAAAATATATCTTTATTCATCATGTTATTATTTATTCATTTAAATATAATTCATCGAAAGTAAAACAAGAAAAAGAATTATCAGGTCGTATTTGAGATCGTGGTGATAATTCATTCATACAATAAAATATTGATTAAAAAGTAGTACAATCTTGATCATCAAATATTTTTTGATGTAAACAATTATATTGTAATACATTATTATTTATTTCATCTGTATAATACAAATTTAATTCAAACAGAAAAACCATCCAATTTGAAAGAATAAAATAGAATAAATATATTCCTGAAAATATTATATTAATAATGATAGAAGAATTACACATAGAAAGTTAAATGAATATTATGATTTTAATATATAGAATTAATAATATGATTAGAGGGGTAAGACAGTTGTTTCTGGATCGAATGAATATATTTTTGAGATTTTATTATTTATAAAGAACAATTACACTTTTGCTGTTTATGGCTATACAAATGTAAATATTCAATATAAAAGCAGTGCAATAGAATAAATTTGTTAAACAGTTTCTATCGATATTTTAAATAGTTAGGAGAAACGAAAGTGTTTAAATAGATATTGAAAGTAAGTATAGGAGTGAAATAAATAGAAATATGAGAAAAAATTGAACATTTTTATCTATATCCTCAAATATATATATGGGTGTGGGTGTAGGAATGAATAGAAAGAGTAGATACCACCACCCTCAAGATTAGAAGTTTTAAAATTTTTTAAAGTAAGAAAGACATTTACATGAAAAGCTCATTCTGAAAGTATTGCTTCAGAATAACGATTTTAAATAGTTCTTTGTAAAAAAAATCTAGTTTCAAATCGTTATATCAATATTAATTTCAAACATGAGTATCCGGATCCATCGGTGTTGAATGTGAACAGGTATATAAATAGCGTCATGTGTTTGGTATATCGGTACTGATATGATATTATCTTAGTCAAATGATATTCATATTTTTATATGGAAGGATAAAATTAAATCTTTTTTTATTCACGAAATTTCTTAATTTGATATTGAAATCATGATTTTTTAGGAAGAGCAATTATGTCAAATAATTCGATAAGAAAAGATTATAACAATATCATTTGATACTTCAATCATATATTATCGTTTAATTAATGTAGTTTTAAACAAAGAAAAATGATCATCAACATTCATCTTTCGATTTTGAATCCGAATATCATATTCAATAGTTTTTTTCGTCAATTACAAAAAGAAGAGCATGTCGCGATGCTCTTATAAATCAGAAAAGAAAAATGATTTATTTATGAGTAGTTTAATGATTAAGTTTATTTCGATTGATGAGTTAATTGTAATAACGAATTGAGATGATACGTATATCCAGATAAAAGATTTTCTAAAGTTAATTTTTTATTTTGATAAACTATTGTACAACTATTTTGATTTGATAATGGTAGAATTTCAGCTCTTTGTAATATTCCATGTGCCCACCAAATATTAACTTGATAATTTCCTCGTGCTCTTAAACCACAAACAAAACCTTGTGGCCAATTATCAATTGGTAAAGCTGGTAAAAGTTCAATTTGATTATTTTGACTTTGAAGTAAAATTTCACAAATCGCTGATGTAACACCAAAATTAGCATCAATTTGGAAGGGCGCACCATCGATTAGATCGAACATATTTGGAGCAGTATGTAAAGGTGTTAATATCATACAAAGAAGTTTAAATACAGTTGAACCTTGATGAAAACGAGCCCATATATTAGATTTCCATGCTAATGACCAACCCGGTGATGGAACAAATATACCTCGAAGATCTAATGAACGAAGAGCGGCATCACGATATGGTGATGGTTGGAATGTTACAGAATTTCCAGGAAAAACACAATACAAATGAGACCTTCAATATCATATATGATAAAAGTTATTGACAGAAAAGAAAAGAACATACATATGTCGATTATGAAGATCAGCTACTTGATCCCAATCTTCAAACCACTCTTGTAATTGACCTAATTGTCCAATTCGTAAAGGTGGTAATTGATTCATTGCATTTTGAACTTCTTCTCGAAATGATAAATCAATATTAAATAAAATTGACGTTTCAATAACTGAATGAAATAAATCTTTTATTAAAAGAATATCTAATGTTGGACCCGCACAAACAACAGCACCTAATTCAGCATGATGTGCAACTTCAGGTGACATTGATGGACTTGTTAGTAGATAATTTGATGATTTAATTAGAGTTTCAAGAAAAAATTGAGCAGCTGAACGAAGTATTGGATAATAACGAAGAAGATTTTCTTTATCATTAGTAAATAAATAATGATCAAAAATACTTTTACAAAGCCATATGCCACCTGTTGGCCATGTACCATATATTGCATCATCAACAGGTGCTGTTCCTCTCCAAATATCAGTATTATGATGACATACCCAACTTCCTTCTCGTTTCTATTAATAGAATTTTATTTTATTTGAAAAAGAAAAATCTGAAATAAATTAATCTAATCTTACTGTTCCATAATGTAATTTTGCTGTTGTTTGTCCTGTATGAGAAATATCTTCAATAAGATTAAATAAAGGTTGATAACATTCACATAAATTGGCGGGCCCGGCTACCCAATAATTCATTTCAATATTAATATTAATTGTATATTTCGATTGCCATGGTGGTGTCATGGAATCATTCCATATACCTTGTAATGTTGCTGGTTGACTACCTGGACGACTTGATGATATTAATAAATATCGTCCAAATTGAAAGTATAATGTTAATAATTGAGGATCTAAATTTGGATTCTGTGAAAATAATTGAATACGCTGATCTGTTGGTTTAAGCATTGCTTCACTTTCTCCAAGATTTAAATGAACACGATTAAATAATAATTGATAATCAATTAAATGATGTTGAAGTAATTGTTCATAATTAAATAATAAACAATTTTTTAAAATATTTTCACTTAATTTTATTTCATCACCATTTATATTCGCATAATTAATATAACTTGTGGCAATTACTATTCTAAGAGTAAGAAAATTTGATGCCAATATTATTAAACGATCATTTAATACATAACATTCACCATCTAATTCAATATTTATTAATAAACGAAAACGAATACTTCCTATCATAGATTTAAAATCACCACCTACACCATCAACTATTAATGTATTCGATCCATCTACACTTATTTTTGTCTTTTGTGGACTGGAAAATGATATGATACTATTGATTGAATTTGGTGACTAGAATATATATATTTGAGTTTAGAATAGCTTTTAGATACATTGATTTCGAATGAGTGAAAAATCCGTTCGGGCATATCAGATCGATTTGAAAAGATTCGCGTTAAATCGAAACTATTCGAATCTGATTCTGATCAGTTCCACTTCACTTTTTCCAAATACTATTACAAAAATACATGATATTATGTCGCTTGTAAAGCTTTATTCTTTTCGTGCATTCTAAATTCAACTAAATTCTCATGTTAACTGATATAACAGGTGGTGTTGAAAGTATTGCACAGCTAGAATTTTTCTCAAGAATATCTTACCGATGCTTGAACATTATAAACCATACAATTATCTGGATACGATGCAAAACAAGTTCTTTGAAAATGAACTCCGTTACTAGTTGAATAAGTTGTTGTTGCAATTGCTTTTTCTAAATTCAATTCTCTTTGATATTGATCAATGGAAGTTGAAGATGATGATTCTTGAAAGAAATCTATAAATAAATCTCCAACAGTTTGATAAGGTGCTTGACCAATTGGTTTTCCAAAGAAATTTTGTGTTAACATTGTTTGAGCTTCATTCCATTTGTTATCTTGAATTAACTGTCGAATTTGTGGAAGATAATTCAAAGCATCTTTATTGGAATACTCATGTGGACAACCAGCCCATAATGTATCACTATTTAATTGAATTATTTCACGTGGGTAACCACCATAAATCATTCCACCCATATAACCATTACCAATTGGTAATGCTTCAAGCCATTCTGAAGCATCTTTTTCATACCATAGTGATAATGAAGATGAAGGAGGTGATGTTTTTGATGAAATTAAATTACATTTTACAATTAAAATATCTAATAAATAATTAATTATTGGTAGATGTTTGTATTGACATGCTGTTCTTATTGTTCGGTATAAAAACAAAAGGCTATTTCTATGAGTTACTTAAAAACAAGCTTACTTAAGTAAATAAATATCAGCTCCTTGTTCAACAAGAAATTTGACAATGCACAAATGATTATTTTGAATGGCACATATAAGAGGTGTTAATTCCTCATATTGAATTAATGTCCATTGATCATCTTCTGTTTCGT